GATGTTGAAAACGACTTGCCAGCAAGAAAGTTAAAAACAGCAAGCAAGAGCACTTGGTTACTGTACCATTCGTTAGTTTCCGTTGCTGTCCACAACAGAAGTAAGGTAATAGTACCGCCAAGACATCCAATAACAATGACGTAGTATGGTTTAATATGTTTTTGTAAGTACGATATAGGTATTCCGAAACCAATGCCGATTATGCCAAAAAGGAAGACAGTCTCAACTGAAACACCTATCTATAATAACGTAGAAAATTCAGTGTACACTGAGGAGTGAACCTAAGAACAAGAGCAAGTTGAAGGTTTTTATTGGTTTTATTGACTTTGTAGCCGAATCGGAGTTTGACGAATTTGACCCAAAAGGTAAGAAGCGGCAAATTTGGTTATATTCAAGCAACTGGACTTCGACTGCTAAATGCTTAAATAAAATGCTAGTGTTGCAAATTTTGCTTCACTTTAACTAGAAGCCAGTTTGCTGTTTCTTCTAATTTTAAAGCACCTCACGAAAAGCGAGAACTTCGGAGAAAGTTCACTTGGTGAACACGACTATTAAGTCTTCCGACCAGCTCATTTTAAAAACTTGAAGTAAAAAGAGTCGGTCAGGGCGTAACGCTTAGTATCACGGTTCCAAACAACAAATTAACTCAGTTTTCAAATCCAAGGATGTACTTTAAAAGTACGACATTCGTTGGCTTTATTGAATCTCTAAAAAAAAAGTAATTTGTGTAACAGATGTAAACCGTAAAAGTTTCTTTTCAAATTTGAGCACTCAAAATAAGCAATATTCTATGAACAATTAAGAACTTAGGGAATTTCTTCTAGATAACAACTTCCGGCTGAGGTTGGAAATATGTAAATACCTACGAGTCAAACTAAAATTGTAACATTTACATTGCATCTTTGACTTTTGTATCAGCAAAATCAATAAATAACTGCTAGGCGAATGTTCAAAGAAATGACAAGACATTGCTGTTATTTCTTATACTTTTTGACTGTCTCATGTGAGGAGCTACGCGACCTTTGTTTAGAAGAAAAAAAAGACATTCTTTTAGGGCGAAAGCTTAAAATGTGCAATTTTTTATGAGAAGCGGTTTTTGAGTTTCACATAGATATCCTTGTGGAGGAGGGGTGAGGAATGTCTTTAAACAAATTGGTTCTGAGTGTTAGTGGTTACACGCTAGTCTTAGGATTAGAAAAGTGTAAATTACTGGCTGAGCAAAAGAATTACTTAAGTGTTGCAAAAGTATTACCTTGGTAGTCAGAAATGTCAGTTTTCTTGGAGTTCGAGAATACGAGTCTAATTTGAGAACGGTCCAGAAATGTTCCAAATGTTAGTCCAGCAAGTACGGCTACCAAACCATTACTTATCAGATGCACTTTGTCGTCCATGTTGGATGCATCGTCAGCCTTAGTGTATTAAACTACTTTTTTTTGATTTTTACCAGTCATAAAGTTTCCTTTAACAAGCATAAAGAGTTTTGTACGGTAAGACAGCTGGCATAATTATGAGTTTTCAGGAACAGCTGCTGATGTCGCGAACTCAAATATAACACAAACAAGAACATGCCAAAAATTAGACTTCTTCTACGTCTCAGGCTGTACAGCTCCAAAAAATGATTTTTTAGATCCCTGACATTAAAAACCAACAAACTGAGTTGTGCTAGGTTTCTTTTGCGATCTCTTGCTGCAATATGTCAAATTTTTTCTGACATAGGTGAATAAAAATAGGAGGGATTTTTCAAGGCAACTTACCAGTGACCTTGGCAAGCAATTTCAAAAAAAAAAAAAAAAACGTAAATGAGCCCAAAATTAGCAAAAAGAACATTTCCATCCTAAACACTTGCGAAAACAAATGTTGTTAAAAACGTTAGGGAAAAGCTTTAGTCCTACACTGATTCTTAAATACTTTCAAAGAAGAAAAACTAGATAAATAAATACGGGATTCAAAAAAAGTAATGAAGTGTTTCCTGTACAAATGTTTATTGAAATAATTCGGTCAAATAATAAACAACAGATCAGTTAACTGCAACCCAGCAGCGGATTGATTACCCACCGCATTCGTTCTCATTTTCTTCAATACTCTCATTTTGTAGAATGTTGAAATATGGCACTATAATGGCTAAAAATATTGACGCATTTTTTGAGTGAACAGTTTTCAAAGATCTTTTTTTATTAAGGTGTTGAACTTAAAACGTACATTTTTTGACTTATTATACTGCAAATACCCACAGTTTGGCAATCACTGGAATACAGAAAAGCACGATTAAAAGGAAACCAAGACCGCACTAAATGGTTTTCTGGCAAGTGGATGCAAAACAAAAAAAGGACAATAACCTCACAGCGGACAGGTAGTACTCAGCAAATTATTTTTAATAACTTTTTGGAAATCCTTAAAATCAAAATTTACGACGCCAGATAATCTTAGAAAATCGGAAGACGAATGTAAAAGTTGCAATCGCAAAACAGCAAAATCTGTTAGAAACGAAAAGGTACGTCGTCATAACGATGTATCGTCCGCTCAATCGCGGTTGTACTTTAATCAGAATTACATGGCGGGGTCGCTCTGTTATTCGTCCTTCCTTGAAAGCAAATTTGTTTTCCGCTGCAAAGTGTTTCTTTCTGCCATCACTAGTTCAGTGTCCGATGGCGGCAAAACTAGATCAATTTAAAATGCAAAGTTACTTTTGCAATCCAGTAAAACGTTCGATTGTAGCCTGTTGACCAGTGGTGAAAGAGTAGCCAGATGAAGACGTAGAGGAGAAAACTACGAGAAACCGTCTTAGTTGCACCAATTCACGTGATGTTTCTTCATAAGAACGTTGATTTTTACTTTACACTACTTTGAGAAGTAAACTGCCAATTACCTACAACCTTTTGACAGTTTCGCTTTCAATAGTTATAGACAAAAGTGGAAGGCTAGTAACATGAGTTGGTAGCACTGAAACAAAATTTATGTGGCTTTATTTTTGTAGTAATTAAACTTTCTCAAAGTAAACTTTGAATTACCACTGCTTTTGAGATAAATTTTAGAGCAGCAAACAAAAGCGCTTTTTTTTCTACAAAAGATAAGCAAATCTTTTAAGCTAGGTATTACCAAATCTGGTGATTTTAAAGGATGAGAAGAAATTTAAATTTTCTGATAGGCAAAAGAAATTTTTTTGCAGTTTGTATATCTTTTTGGTGTACTCAAAATCTTACTGGGAAAGCTGCATTTTTCCTGTGACGCTTGCCAGCGAAGTTGTGTAAACTTTCATATGCGTATGAAGTTCAGCAAATAAGGAGTAACTGTTGATTTTAATTGAGTGCCAAGTCAAATAGCTCAATAATTTCTATTTTGAACGAAAAATATTCACAGTTCTTCGTTAAAAGAAAGGGTTAAACATTGAACAACCGTTAGTAAATGTTATTTCCCTCCAGCTCGATGTCACAAAAAATCGTGTCTTAAAAATGCAAAAGCAATTAGTTTTTAGACCTATAGCTTAATCTCTGGAAAGCTGGGAGTTATACTTAAGAAATGCAAATATCCATAACGTTGACTAGAACATTCTTACTACACGAGTCTTTATTCTATGTTTAAAGTATTAAGTTTAAATTTTTTTCTAGCTAGACAACTCAAAGGGGAGCAGGAAATTAGCTTTTACATCACCATTACCGTGTTTTAAATTTATTGGGCCATTTACTTCAGTTACAAATGCTGCTACGGTTACCAAGATATTCTCTTATTTTAGGAAAGAAATAATCATTATAAGCCCAGTGAAATCATGCACACAGTGCAAAAAGGCAAATTTTCAGGTTGAAAAGTGACTGGGCATTGTTTTTTTTTTTTTTTTTTTTTTTTTTTTTTTT